CCAAAATCCCTCGGGGCTGGCTCCGGCAGCAGCACACAGCTCCGTTACCGTTGCTGGTGCTTGCTCGGCTTCTCTGCGAGCCCAGTGCGCTGGCGTGGGGGCTGTCCAGGTGGTTCCCGAGGGATTTCTGTCCTACCCTGGTCTTCATCCAGCTTCGTGTCCCTCGGGGAGGCTGCAGAGCTCCTGGTGCTGCAGCGAGGAGGGGATGACTGCTCCTGTCTGTGCCCACCTCGCTGGATCTCCGGTCTGCCCAGTGCCTCTGATGGGCTGGAGGGGGCCTGGCTCCACCGAACCCTGCGGGGTTTTATAGCTGAGCCCATGCTCTGCCGAGTCCCTGCATCTGGTGGCTAAAACCAGCGCCGGGACCGGGTCTCGCCCTGTTCTGCTCCGCGGCTCGTGGGGAACGGGCTCCCTCTCCCATTGCCAGCGGGGAAGAGTTGTGTTCACTGTAAGCCCCGTTTAGCACTGAACGGTTTCAGTCTTGGCAAGGCATCTGTCTCTGCTTTTGGGCAAATGTGCTGGAAGGCAGTTCACGTGCGGGCGAGAGAGCGGGATGTGAAGAGCAGCCTCTCGCACGCGGGTTGTATTGAGTGGGCTCTGCCAGCGAGCAAAAGCTTTGTGCATTTGTTCTGAAGCTGGGACGCTTCTCCTACGAGGAGAGGCTGAGGGAGCTGGGCTTGTTCAGCCTGGAGAAGAGAAGGCTGAGAGGGGACCTTAGAAATGCCTCTAAATATCTGCAGGGTGGGGGTCAGGAGGACGGGGCCAGACTCTTTCCAGTGGTGCCCAGCAACAGGACAAGGGGCAACGGGCACAAACTGAAGTTGAGGAAGCTCCAGCTGAACCCGAGGAAGAACTTCTTCCCTCTGAGGGTGACGGAGCCCTGGCCCAGGCTGCCCAGGGAGGCTGTGGAGTCTCCTTCTCTGGAGATATTCCAGCCCCACCTGGCCACGGTGCTGTGCAGCCTGCTGTGGGTGACCCTGCTTGGGCAGGGGGTTGGGCTGGGTGACCTACAGAGGTCCCTTCCAACCCCCGAACATTCAGTGATTCTGTGATTCTGGGACTGGCAATGTAAAGAATAAATTGATAATGACAGGAGATGCCAAACTGCAGACTATTCCTGCTAATTAATATTCATATATGCCGCGTTTAGTGGAACATTAATTATGCATTTAATCAAGCCCTGTTTATTCTGGTTTATCTTTGTACCTTGGGTGGCTGTTATGCTGAGGACTTCATATTAATTAAAATGTTAGGGGTGTATCACAAATAACAATTAGCGAGGTGTGAAGCGAACCGCCTTTCTCGTTGTGCTCGTTTAGAGGGGAGCCCGGCAGGATGGAGCTCGGGGG